ACACCAGCCTGTATGATCCAAGAATTGTTCACCATTAAATCCATGATCAGAGGAGGGAATTGTATTATAGCTTAAAGTCTGCACACCAGGTTTGCAGAAGAGTATGGTTAACAGTGAAAGCCCAAAATTCATATGTAGAGTCACCACATGGTGCTTCTCTCACCATTGACCAGGGATGTGAATCATCTTGCCCCCCAGACATAGTTCATAAGAAAGTGAATTAGTTCTGCCTTCTTGACCAGCCGAAGCATGGGCAATCTCCATTCGGGTACTGCCCTTCAGATCTCAAATGGTTCATTATTCTTAGGAGTGTGTACCCCTTAATGTTACTGTTCTTCATATAGACCTCTCTAGGTGCAGAGCTTTTAAACTTTATCCTACTTTTGTGTCCATTGAACTTTTTAGAGTATTTTTAAAAATCCAAATCTGGGAGGTTTTTAGCCTTATTTCATCAAATATTCCTTCCTTTTCTCTCCTTTCTGCCTGTGATTCCCGTGATGCAAAGATGATTTACTTAATGATGTCTCATAGGTCTCTGAGTCTGTTAATTTTCTTAATTATTTCCCATACCTCCTGCTCTTTAGGTTGAACAGACTCAATGATATATTTTAAGTTTACTAATTCTTTCATTAACCAACGCAAATCTGTGCTTTTTTTAATACGAAAATTATATCTATTTAATTTTCATTAAAATGACAATATCCATAGAGCTTACACTAACAGGTCTTAAGATTTGGATTAATATTTGATTTTTTTACAAAAACAATACTATATAAAATGTCATATAACCATTTTAATCAAGTTGCATTAATTTTCTCTTTAAATTGTAAATTATTAAAATTTTTTGTATAAATTAAAAAAATTATTCAAAAATTTAAAAAAGCTAAGCAACGTTAACAAAGCAGATGTGGGAATTTTTTACACTTCTATACACTATACCTAGTGAAAGGCACTCCAACTTTAAAAGTGAGAGAAAAAGACATCCAAACCACTCTCTGGACATGTAGCACCCAGCGCTCAGGCTAGTTGAAAACCACTAGAATGGTCTTGGGGAACCTTCAGCAAGTCAATGCTTATCTACTTAGACTAAGAAACTATGATGCTGGAAGCTATGCTACCGGGGTTTCAGATGCCAACAGGATCACTCCTGGTGGACAAGTCTCAGCAAGCCTTCCAGACTAAGACTAGGAAGAAAGATCTAGTAGCCTATTTCTAAAAGTTCGTCAGTGAAAATCCTGTGGATCACAATAATATAATGCCCAATTTACAAAAAAAACCAAACCCCCAAACCCAAACTCATGCCCGAGCATCAGTGCTGACTTAGAGAGAAACCCGATAGGACATGGTAGTACTACTCCTGTGAGTTTTTGAGATTGGAACTCTTTACAGAAATAGAAAACCCTTAGTTGTGCTAGTGGTGAAAATGGATAGTGCTTTACTGTTAAACTAAAGACAGGTAGTTCAAACCATGGTACCAGTTCAAACCAGTTCAGTACCCAAGAAACAGGTAATCTGCTTCTATTGAAATGAAAGCCAAGAAAACACTACAGAGCACATGGGTCACCATGGGTTGGAACCAATGGCATCTTACAACAGAGCCAGTCACTGTTCTCATGTGCTTTTATGCCTGTGTGCACAGCGTGCTCTCTGAATCAGCAGCAGCAGGATCCTTTGTGAGCCTGGTAGAAATGCAACTTCTCAGGGCCCAACTCAGACCTTTGAACTAGTACGCGCTGGTGGCACAGATATTAAAGTGTGAAACTGCCATCTTCAAAAGCCAGTGGCTTATACTTTCTGGCCCCTTCAAGGCATAAAGCCTTGTCAGGCTGCCTCACAGCCCTGCTCTGTCTTTTAGGACTTTGTGGCCATGGATTGGATTTGGTTTTGCTTTAGGATCCAGAAATCTCCGTTGTAAGCTTTCCAGATGATTCTGATGCAAACTCAAAATTGAGATACACTGGCCTAGAGTTAATTCGTCTTATTTTCATTCAAGCCAAGACAGTTTAAAAATGAAATGGAATGTAATTAATAATGCTGAGTAAGCTGGGACTGGTAGGGCAAATCAGGATGAACAGGTAGCCAATTTTGACTGGAATACTCATGCATATATGGCCTCCCTTTTTTAATACAATAAGGGAGGTTTCTAATGTATTCCCCAGTGACATAGTGGGTTACGACTTGGGTTGCTGACTGCAAGATCAGCAATTTGAGATTATCAGCCGCTCCATGGGGGAAAGATGAGACGTCCTACTCCTATAAAGATTTACAGTCTTGGAAACCCACAGGGGCAGTTCTATGTGCTATAGGGTTGCTATTTGTTGGAACCAACTCTATGGCAGGGAGGTGAGCGAGTAGCTTTCCTAGAAGGAGCCCTGGTGGTCTAGTGGGTTATATATTGGGGGGCTGCTAATTGAAAGTTCAGTAATTTCAATTCACTAGCTCTTATTCATGATTCAGGCATAGCACGAATACGAGGTGTATTTTAAAGAGGCTTTTCGCCGCAGATTTTCCCGATACAATGTGTGATATGACATTTGGCTGCTACTTTCATGGGCATTAGTTGTGTATCCAAGTATAACGAATCCTTGACAACTTACTCTTTGCCATTTATCATGATGCTGGGTCACATTAGTCCAGTTGTGAGTATTATGGCTCTCTATATTATAGTCCACAGTGAAGGCTGAATCCAGTGAACATTTAATAAAGTTTTGGACCTTTTTTTCAGTCCTCATGGCATCTCATGGAAAAAAAGGTTATATTTTCATGTATGTGTACAATTACGCTCATCATGTTGCACAACTATCACCACTATCTGTTCCTTATTGAGTTTTGAGGAAATGGCATGGGGCCAGGTCTACCTCCCATAGGCCATCCAAAGGAGAAGCTCCACACTAGCCCAGCGCCTATTGCCACAAGACGGAGGTCAGCTGTGTCTCCACCCTCCTTTCTTTTGCCCCATTCAGACACCAACTATTCCTCCCTTGACAGTCCTTCTCTGCTGGGTTTGAGACTCTGTCCCTGTCCTGTTGACAACACAGAACTCTCAGATAATACTTAAAATTATGGGGATTTACTAAGGAAGGTCACAGGTTACCTACCACAAGCCAGGATCAGAAAACACTAAGGTTACAGTCATTGGTGTACGGCAGCACCTCTTCTCAGGCCGCATGCCACGTCTCTCTCTGGTCCTCATCTTCTTAGTCACGTGCTTGCTTGGCCTCTGCCTCTGTGTTCCAGGAAGCCCACCTGCTCCCTTGCCTCACTGCCCCAGGTCTCTACTGTGTGACCCCTCTGCTCTAGTGCCTCTTCTCCCTCCCCATGTCAGATCGGGCCCACATGCTCCACTGGTGGTGCGGAGACAGCTCTCTATAGCCAGAGGAATGGAAAACAGACCAGTCCCTGAGTTAGAGTCTTTGTAGCTTGGTCCCACCCAACTGTTGGCTGGGACTTACAGAGGATCATATTAAGAAATATTACTTCACCAGTTTTAAGTATGCCTTTTTACTCAATGCCCTTGAATTAGAAGTTAAGGATTTTAAGTAGCTGCAATCCAGGGTTGGTGTAAGAAAAATATGATTGTTCAATACTCAGATTTCTTTGATGGTTCATTTTAACAGTGACCCATTAGTAAAAATAACCATGATGATAAAAATTGCTATGACAGTCATAACACATGGTTTTTTGATTATATTATACTTTGGGGTCCTTTGAGCAAGTTTCTGGGTTTAAAAAGTAAGGTTCAAAGAGAATGCCATTTGGATGGTTTTCTTTTAGGGTTTTATCAGATGTCCAGAAAGGGTCTGGAATCATTTTATGCAGCTTGGTGCTTTAAAAAAAAATTCAAAAAATCTTCCGAATTTCTTAGTTTAGATGTTTTTCTTCATCTCACAATCCTTTTTAACAATCAATTTTATCAAAATTTAATTTCCATTTAATAAAAATTACCCATTTAAAATTGATATAGTTCAATGCCTTTTGACAAACATATACATCTATAGAAACAGTATCTCATATAAAACATTTCCTTTGCCCAAAAAAGCTCCCTCAAACCCTTTTCCCTCAACTACTTCCAACCCTACTTCAGGTAAACTGATCAATAAATCAAATATTTTGAGTAGAATTCCTGGGTCATATAGTAAGGGATTTTTTACTTTAAGAAAGTGCCAAACAATTTTCCAAAGAGGTATGTCATGTTACTTTCATATGGGCGATAGTTTAGACTTCGAGTTGCATCATTGCCATCCCTTAATATTGTCCACTTTGGGTTTGAAGTTTTAGCCTGTTTTCATTCCTCTAGTTCCTGAATGCTTCCTTCCCCCACCCCTCACCCCCTTCCATGACTCAGTTCTACCTTATAAATCTGGCTGGACCAGAGAGCACACAGTGGTACAGATAAGAGCTCTTGACACATGGAATTCAGGACAGATAAAACCCTCAGAAACAGTAGTGGAGTATTGCTATCATGAGGGTAGGGGGATGGTCAGGGAGGGGAAAGGGGGAGAAAGGGGGAAACTATCACAAGGTTGGATATATAGCCACCCCCCCAAGGGGATGAATAACAAATGTGGGTGAAGGGAGACAACAGACAGTGTAAGATATGAAATAATAATAATATATAATTGATCAAGGATTCAGGCGGGTGGGTGGGTCGGGGAGGGAGGCGAAAAAGGAGGAGCTTATACCAAGGGTTCAGGTAGAAAGAAATGTTTTGGAAATGATGATAACATATGTACAAATGTGCTTGATATAGTTGATGTGTGGAATGTTATAAGAGCTGTAAAAACCCCCAATAGAGTGATTTTTTTTTAAAAGAAAAAAATTTAGCCTGTTTAGTGGGTATATATAGTGACAGCTCATTGTGGTTTTAATTTGAGTTTTCCTGAATTGCATCTATTGATGAAGAATGTGCTTGAAGTTAATTTTAATTTTTTCTTTTTAAAGCAGTATTATAGGTGCATATACACTCATGAAAACTAATCTCTTGTACGTAATTTTTTTTTAGGTTTCTTTTAAAAGTGACTGAAGAGAATAACTCAAAATGCCGGAAAATCCAGCTCCAAACATAATAGGTGAGTTAGTTAATTGTGCCAGCCTGGCCGATAATCACATGTGGTGCTGGTTGAAAGGCGGAGGGATAAATGGGTGGTGAAGCCTCGCCTTTCTAGTTCTTGGGTCTCTTGTTTTGTGATGGTTGTATCGGGTGCAGCTGCCTTAGCAGTTCCCTGCTTCAGCTTGCAAGATTGACTTCCTACAAGACATCCCCAAGGAGAAGCCACATGGACCTATCCCGATGCAGCCCTGGGTGCTGGAGCAGCCGTGTGGAGACCCTTGCCAGTGCTGAGATGCTTACACGTTCACTGACTCAGCTTTCCTCCTGCAGTCGGCATCATTGCCTCTGTTTTGTGAGGTGGAGGACTTTGTGGACTGGTGTTGGCTTAATGGGTTAATGTTGGACTTGTGGGCTTGGGCAGCATTGGGTTGGGATGTTTTCGTGATGCACCTTTTCTTTACATAAAACTCTCTCTTATACGTGAGTCGCCATGGATTTGTTTCTCCAAAGTACCCAGACTAATACAATAGGTATATAATTATATCGCTAAAGTAATTAATGACGCAGGAATTAAATTGAAGGTGGGAATTAACTTTTCTTCTGATTATTCCTGTTCACCCAGATAGACTGCAGGTCCTGCAGGTGCTTGACCGCCTGAAGATGAAGCTGCAGGAGAAGGGTGACACGTCCCAGAACGAGAAACTGTCGACGTTTTATGAGACTCTGAGGAGCCCGCTTTTCAACCAGATACTCACCCTTCAGCAGTCCATCAAGCAGCTGAAAGGACAAGTAAGTCCCCGTCACTTTACACATGCATCTCTGCCAGCAAAGCTAGAAGGGAAAGGAGACGGCAACACTCCCTTAGTTGAGCAAAGAGACGGGATTGGCATTGTGACCAGCAGGTAACTGGCGTGTCTCCTTTACAGGTGGTGACGCTAATAGAATTTGTAGTGGGCCTTGCAGTATGTTTTTGTACTCATATAAGTACAGCAAGGAAGAAGCTTTGAAAGTCCTCCGATTTCCTTACGCTTTATAAAGCAGTGCTTAAGTCAAATAGACTTTCTGATGAAGTCACCAAAAAATGTGCACACCCTTACATCACATTACTTGTCTTTTTTTTAATGTGTCTCTTTCAATAGTTATCAAATATTGTTTGTCATCACGAACCTTGTGATTATTATTTCTTTGTAAGCAGTCTACCTGGGGTGATAATATATATCAGTGCTTCCGCACTCCCTAAAGCATACCACCTTGATATTTGCAGACTCTTAAAACATAATTGTTGAACTAAAGGACACATAGCCTCTCTACTTGCAAATCATTAATAGTTCTCTTGGGTTGTATGTGTGGGGGTCAAGAATAGTGAGTTGGTTTTAAAATAATGTATTCTGGAAACTGAGCTTGAGTAGCAGATTACATTTGGGCAGGATTTTCAATGTAATTGAAGGTAATTAACAGAACTGTTAGGTGAATACAAAATTTGGTAAACAATATTTTTGCTGATACGGGAGAATTCCTGCCTCATGAATATTTAATGAGTATTCATAACTAATTCAACCTTAAGCGCTGCACATGTATCTTTCTGTGAATTTCTTTTTTAGACCAGAATTTAATTCCACAATTTTAGAATGAGTTCCATATTGCAACAGTGAGTGTGCACATGGTAGCAATAAAAGTTGGAAAATATCTGTGCAATTCTATCACCTTACTAGAGCAATCCCTTCATTATATCAACACTTTATTTTAAATTTATTTTTAAATCATTTTATTGGGGGCTCTTACAGCTCTTATAACAATTCATACATCAGTTGTATCAAGCATGTTTGTATGTATGTTGCCACCATCATTTTCAAAGCATTTTCTTTCTACTTGAGCCCTTGGTATCAGCTACTCATCGTGCCCCCCCCCCCCGAACCCTTGATAAATTATAAATTATTATTGTTTTCACTATTATATTTTCCAGTTTCCAGTTTTTTATGTATATGACTCTATTGCATCTATGTAAAATTTTCATGCCATGAGTGTTTTTATATTATTTGAACATTTTATTGTGATTTGGAAGGTTTACAGAGTAAATTAGTTTCCTTTTTAATAATTAATATACATTCTTTTTCATGACATTGGTTGAAATCTCCTCAAGGGGTGTTACTTTTTCTTTCACATTCTGTTGACATTTGTTCGCAGTGTGACCATTATTCAACTGTGTTTTGACAGTTATTAGCCAAATGCAATTTAAAAATTAACCACCTTTTTTTCTTTTGCTCATTATCTTTACATGATTCTCCATTTCTACTTAAGTTTCTACCACTCATGTGCTATTTAATTGTGGGCAAGTTACCTAACCCCGTGTGCTTCAGTTCTCATAGTCACAACATGGGATAGCAGTATTCCATCGGTCTTGAATAGGAATTAAAGTGGAGGATACATGTTAGAACCTGCCACAGTGCCTTGCTCATAGCAAGACTTCAATAAATACTGTTATTGTGATCTACCATTTGTGGTGGTACTGTGCATAAGGCCTTAAGCTACTAACCTCAAGGTCAGTGGTTCAAACCCACCAGCCTCTTTAGGAGAAAGTTGCAGAAACCCTTTATTCCATCACGGTCAGTTAAAATTGACTCAATGGCAGTAGCTTTGGTTTTGATTTGGCAGATAAACCAAACCCAAACCCAAACCAAACCAAACCAAACCCACTGTCACCAAGTTGATGCAGACTTATAGTGACCCTATAGGACAGACTAGGACCTCTTCTGTGAGTTTCTGAGACTGGAACTGGTTAAGGGAGTAAAAAGCCCTTTCTCTCGAGGAGCAGCAGGTGGGTTTGAACTGCAGACCTTGTGGCTAACAGCCCATTGCATAAGCACTACACCACCATGGCTCCTTTGAAAATAGATACTTGTAAATGGGCTCAGTATCTTCCCTTCATGTTTTTATGTCTAGGTGTTTCTGTATATAAACTGTATTGAGATACTAGTAAAGAGGTACTATTTATTTAGGACACTAATTGTTATTGTTGCATGCCATCGGTCTGATTCCAACTCCTAACAGTTTAGCACTGCCTCATAGCATCCCGTAGGCTGTTACCTGTGTGAGAGCAGAGCTCCAGCTCTTTTCTCCTCTAGAGCCTCTGGTGGGTGTGCTGAGCATTTAAGCATTGCACCACCAGAGCTACCATGGTTGTAGTAGAAGCAGGAACAAGGGACAAATTCAGCTACTAACATTTTGTAATAAAACACAGATTCATGTATTTGTGTCTTATTTCTTCCACATGTACATATTTAATAGGCAAATTTTACGTGTCGCAAGAAAAATACAATATTTAATAAATAGAAGTAATATGCTTTTTTTACTGACTTCTGTTGATAGTTCTCTTACGTTTCTTGCCCACAGCTCAGTTACATGCCTTCCGATGGGTCCACCAATTTTGACTTTTCTAGGAAAGGATTTTTGGTGTTTACAGATGGTTCCATTACTAATGGAAATACCCACCAGCCAGCTGGCAACTCGACTGCATCTGGGCTGTTTCCTTGGACCCCTGAGTCAGGAAATGAAGACTTCCACTCAGTTATTCAACAAATGGCTCAGGTAAAGTTAGCTATATTTTACCATGGGAATAATTAATTTCCTTTCTCCTGTTATAGCTTAAAGAAAGAAACACGCTCATTTGCCTTAAAAGGTGTTCCTCTGTGTTTGATGTTATTTTCTTCTGTCTAGATGTTAAAGCAGAGAGCCTGGTATGCGCACACATGGTGATAAAATGGTTCTACATAATGAGTGGAAGTGGGAGAAACATAGCAATGAAGAGTTGGGTTAAGTTAGGGCATGTTCCATTGGCATCCATTGACTTAGCCCAGAGATGCTAGGGATGAGCAAGAGAGAAAATGGACTAGCTCGGTTGAAATGCAGGAGGTGTGTGGGCAATTCAAACTTGTGATTGGTATCCATTGAACTGGCTTGGAGGGCTAGCTAATCAAGTGCAGAAAAAGATGTTTGACAACAGTGAGTTGGTATAAATGGTGGCATTTTAATAGCTGGCTCAGCTCTCAGGACTGGAATGTGCTCATGGATGCAGATGCTCTAAGTTCCCACCCGAACAGGAAATTCTTCAGAGATAGGACCACGTCGCCTCAGTGGTGGCTAACAGTGACAGCAGAACCAGCAGGAAGGGGAGAAATAGGCTTGCTGGCAGACTGGAGTGCCTTTCCTCATTTTTCAGGGTCCTGGTAGAATCCCTAAGGCTTTCATCAACAGAGCAAAAGCGCGCACTGTAACATTTGCCACAGCGTTTGCATAGCCTTAGTCATTTGGTAGGAGTTCAAAGACTGTAGCTAGAAGTATCATATTAAGTAATTCGTTGCACTGCCCTTGGAATTTATCTCATAATATGAGCAGAGTATTAAAATGCCTCTCTGACGCCTTGAGGTTGCAAAGCATTGACCCTTCCCTCTTAAGTTCTATTGAAAATAATCAAGAAGGTTGCCAGAAACAACATTTTAAAAAAATATTATTTTATTGGGGGACTCTTACTGCTCTTCTAACAATCCATACATCAAGCTCATTTGTATATATGTTGTCATTATCATTTCAAAACATTTTCTTTATGCTTGAGCCTTTGGTGTTAGCTCCTTGTTTTTCCCTTCCTCTCCCACCCTCATGGCTCCTTGATACATGATCAATTATTATTATTATTTTCATATCTTACACCATCCACTGTGTCCCTTCCCCTGCGTTTCTGTTGTTCATCCCCCTGGGGTGGGGTAGGAGAGTGGGAATAACATATTACTGAGACTCTGAATTCATTTGGCTTTATAGAGATGACTTAGGAGAAACTGTTCTTATGTTAAGCAATTTTGGCTCTGTGGCAAGGGTGTCTTGGTTGAATGTAGTACATTGACTGTCTTTAACCTCCCACATTAGGGCCGGCAAGTTGAATTCATAGATATACAGCGGCCTTCCACGGGAGGCCTTGGATTCAGTGTGGTAGCCATTCGAAGACAAAACCTGGGAGAAGTTGATATCTTCGTGAAAGAAGTACAGCCAGGGAGTGTAGCAGACAGGTGAGGAAGATGTTCATTTTTTGTTTCTTCTTCTTTTTTTTTTTTGGCGGGAGGCAATTTTGAAAACATTTTTATAAAGAAGACTTGGAACTAATAGTAAAAATAGTCACAATTATAGTGAATACAGACTGAAGCTCTTTGTATGCATTTGTCAGATTTTGGCATGTATTTTTACATTCTCTGGTGGCAAGAGTTCAGCTTATACAGATGAATGCTGAGGTCCAGAAAGGGTGGCAGTTTACCTAAAATCACACGTTCGACAATGCCGGAATTATGTGAATCTAAGACTGACTGACCGCAGAGCTATTGCTCATTCTACTCCATCACAATCACAGTTGAACATGATATTTTAGCTGGGATCTGATTGGTAGCATGAAAATATTAATATACTCATTCTGTATCGACATGGATTATTAAATTTCAGATTTTAAGAACCATTTGGTGATCATATTACACTACTGATTGATGAAGCTTATTATCAGTGAAAAGACCCTTCAAATCTATGTTATCCCCCATAATGCACTTATGCTTTTGTTTTATTTTTAAGGGTATTAAAGTAAGCCTTATATTGTGGGTCTATGTGATTTCAGGTGTTTGGTATGCTACTTATTTAATAAATAGTCTATTTAGCATATTATTACTGCATGTTAGAATAGCAACAGTGGCAGATAGTGTTATAAAAAGATCCTCAGTTGAGTTTTTACATTTGAATTCATGTTCTCCATTCATGGGGGTCAATCGTTTCTTAGATTCAAAATGCAGAAATCACAGGTTGCCATGGCTTTGCGTCTTAATGTAGCATCCAGTGCATTATTTCCTCATGTGTGCTCTGTAGAACCATAGCAGCGGACAGATATATTTGAGAGACTTGAGAGTCTCTCCTGTTCTTGGAGATTGGGTGCACAAGGATGATTGTCTACTCTCTTGTCCAAATTGTGACCATTTGCAGGGTACCGAGGCAGCTATTGAGAATCACACTTTGATGGCAGGTATAAACGAGGTCTAGTTTAGCAAGCTTAGGCAGTTCTAGATAAATCTGGATTTACAATTGGCTTAACATAGTTTAATTAAGGTGACAAAGTCCTTTGGTAAATGCCTTATTTACTTAAAAATTTATTATTAATTGGGAGTTAATACATACATCCAATCATGTCAAGCCGAATTGTACAATTGCTGCCACACTCAGTTTCCAAAGCCTGATTTAATTTTTATTGGCCCAACTTTTAAAGCATTTTCTGCAAAAAGTATGACTAAGATGAAATTCACACAATATAGACTTCACCATTTTAAGGTGTGTAACTCAAGCCTTTTTAGTTTATTCATACTGTGTACGCCCATCTGCACTATGTAATTCCATAGCATTTCTTTCATCCCCCAAAGAAATCTCACACCCTTCACTTCTTTCCTCTCCTTGTACTTCCTGACAACCACAACCTATTTAGTGTTTCTATGGTCCAAGTTTTAATTTGGAGCCTTTTGTTTATATTCCAGTCTTTGGAATACCTTGGAGAATACTGGTTTAATATATTTATTACACTCCTATTTATTTGGTATCTAAAAATTTTATGCCTACACACATTAATCCTGTTGATAAAATTGAGCACCATTCTATGACATATAAATTGAATCTCTGCTCCAGGCTGACCTTCCAATACTGTAGTACCTTTAGGTACTACTGTCATTAATCCCTTCATTTGCCTCTGTGTTCCGCATTTACTTCTCAATTCTTTTATCAGGGTCTGATGAAGAACATTACCAAATAACTTATTGGAATGTGGCCATGCAATATGCCTACATTGTTTTCCTGGTCTACCATGTATAAAATTGAATATATGTAACCTCTAGCCCCCAAAACACAGAGATGGAACCAACAAATAAAAGACAGGTTTATTTGGAGATGGGAATCTCTTACTAGAAAGGAAAAAACCTACAGGCTCCTTAGACAAAAGTCTTATAGAGTAGGTTTGAGTATTGCTTTTTTTCTAGCTGTATCACCTGGTCAAGTTACTCAATCCTACTAAATGTGTGACAATGCTATGGTGAGATTCAGATGAACAATAGTCAATTCTATAGGAAAGTGTTAACCTCATAATAAAGACTCAGTATACATTTGCTCTTATTCTTACTCTACTGATAACATACAAAATAACATAATACATAAAACCCATTTAGTACACTGTATGTCTTTCTACTTTTCCTCCCTTTAATGAAAGTACAGGGTCATGTATATCGCATGGCTGATGAATTCACATTTTACTGGATAGCATATAGTGATTGCTCAGTTTTTTTGTTTTTTGTTTTGCTGAATGAAAAATAAGTGGGTGGCCTATCATTCATACGTGTTATTGGGATTTTCTAGCACTTGTCTGTTAGTTTGTCATATTGAGGTGGCTTGCCTTGTTGCTGTGACGATGAAACCTGTGCCACTGGTATTTCAGATACCAGCAGGTCAGCCAGGGTGAACCAGTTTCAACAGAGCTTTCAGACAAAGATAGACTAGAAAGAATGAAGAGGTGGCCTAGTTCTGAAAACTTACAAGGGAACAATCTTTTTTTTTTTTTAACATTTTATTAGGGGCTCATACAACTGTTATCCCAATCCATACACATATCAATTGTGTAAAGCGCATTTGTACATCGTTTCTCAAAACATTTTCTCTCCATTTAAACCCCCGACATTAGGTCCTCTCAAGGGAACAATCTTATGAATAGTAGCAAACGTTGTTTTATGTACATGACAGAAAATGAACCTGTTAGGTTGGAAGACTTTCCAAAGCTATCCAGAGAAGAGCTGCTTCCTTAGAGTAGCATTGACCTTAATAATGTGAGTGGAGCACAGTTTTGGGGACTTTCATTTACTGATGGAGCATGACTCAAAATGAGAAGGAACTGCAAACGCCCATTCAAATTGGAATGTGGGATGTATGAAGAATAGCCCTAGGAAAATTCTAAGTCATCAGAAATCAGATGTGTAAAGTTTGATATCCTAGGCATTAGCAAGCTTAAATGGACTGGTGTTGACCATTTTGAATCAATCAAGTGGTCTATATGTCAGAAATGACAAATTGAAGAGGAAAGGCATTTCATTCTTTGTCAAAAAGAATATTTCAAGATTTGTTACACAAAAGCTTGAAGTTCAACTATGCCAGAGATGGGACAGTCATGCACCTGTAAAGAAGACCAGTAACTACAACTATTATGCAAACTTACAAGCCAACTACTAATTGCCAAAGATGAGAAATTGAAGAATTTTTTTTATCAACTTCTGCAATATGAAATGGATCAAACATACAATCATGATCCCAATTTTACCGTACAAATCTGGCTAGATCAAAGGATGTTCACTGGTACAGATAGGAACTGGAAACACAGGGAATGCAGGACAGATGATCCCTTCAAGACCAGTGGTGTGAGTGGTGATACCGGGAGGGTAGAGGGAGAGTGGGGTAGTAGTAAGGGGGAACCGATCACAAGGATCTACATAAAACCCTCGCCCTGGGGGACGGACAACAGAAAAATGGTGAAGGGAGACGATGGACAGTGTGAGACATGATAAAATAATAATAATTTATAATTTATCAAGGGTTCATGAGGGGGGGTGTGGGGAGGGAGTGTAAAAATGAGGAACTGATACCAAGGGTTAAAGAAGAAAGCAAATGTTTTGAGAATGATGATGGCAACAAATGTACAAATGTGTCTGACACAATGGATTGTGATAAGAGTTGTATGAGCCACAATAAAATGACTTACAAAAAGAAAAAAGATGCATTGATAAGTACTGATAGTAGAATAAAAAAGTTGGAAGCAAAGAAGGATCAGCAGTTGGAAAATATGTCCTTGGTGATAGAAACGGTCCTGGAAATCACATGATAGAACTTTGTAAGACTGTTGACTTATTCATTGCAAATATGCTTTTCAGTGACATAAAAGGTGGCTATACATGTGGACTTTGCCAGATGTAACACACAGGAGTCAAACTGACTACATCTATGAAAAGAAATATTGGAGAAGATTAACATAATCAGGCAGACCAAGGTGAGAGACAAACTGGAACAGACCACCATTTGCTCAAATGTAAACTTAAGTTGAGTGTGAAGAAAATGAAAACAAGTCCATAAGAGCCAGTGTATGACCTGGAGTATATTACACCTGAATTTTAGACTTGATGCATTGAATACTAGTAACTAAAGACCAGATGAAGTGTGGGATGTTATTAAAAACACCATATATGAAGAACCCAACGGTTATTAAAAACAGAAGAAAGTAAATCCCAAACTAGGTACCAAAAGAAACTCTGAAACGTGCTGTTGAACATAAAATAACTAAAACAAAAAAAGAAACGACTAAACAAAAGAACAATTGAAAGGTGCAAAGGCTTGGAGTTGAAGACAACCACTTGGCATTTCTTAAACTGAAAATACTGAAGAAAAAAAGTCAAGCTTTGAATGCAATATCTAAGGGTAAGAACAAAATAAAGAGGCCATGGTTGCACTGTGGATTAAAGCCTTGGGATATGTGGCATTTACATAATTTCCGGTCAACTTGCAAATGGGTGAAATATAGCCTATCAATCAAGGCATAACATGAGGCCTCCATATGAGCAAGGACTGGAGGTTGGACACACTCTCTCTGCTTTGTATTACTGTTGACAAGACATGTGGAGCTATGCTAGACCCCTGGAGCTGAAGGAGTCACATGGAGACCCACAGCAGCACTGATACGCTTACACCACCACTGGATCCACAAGACTTTCTACCCAGTGGCCTGTGATCTTCCTGAATTTGGCGTCATTGCATGTGATTGGTGAGTCTGAAGAGGAATTTATAGATTGGTAGTGGACATATGGACTAACCCTGGACTAATGGATTTGATTTGGACTCGACTGGGATGTTTTTTCAATATTCAATTGCTCTTGTATGTAAAGCTCTTTCTTATACACATATGAGTGTCTAGGAATTTGTTTCTTTAGTCTACCCAGACTCACAAAGGCTGCTAACAGAA